GCCGACCCTGCCTGATCCTGACCTCTGCTGACTTCTCCTGCTTGATCCCTGGCTTGTGACCCTGACCATTCTCTGCCCGACCCTCTGTACCGCGCTGCCCGTGAGTTACTGAACACAGCTTGTGACCCCGACCACTCTCCCGCCTGTTCCTGGTACTCCATTTGCCCGTTTGCTCCTGACCCGGCCTACCTGACTACTCTTTGTATTGTATGTATTGTTATCGGTGGGTGGTTTGGTTTGTTTGCACTGTGTTTATGTTTAGTTTTGCACTGCGTTTTGTATTGTTAGTCTTAATAAATTATATTGTTATCTGAAGCCTGCGTTTCCCTGTGTCAGTCCACACACCTCTGGTCATACCTGGAGCCTTGACAAGGGCGAAATGCATGAGAGGGAGTGGTTCGTGGAGTAGCTCTGGCTGAGGCCGTTCTACACTATCATGTACACTCCGGTTGGGCTGGTTGTGCAGTGTTTTTCTACTCACACACTTGGTACAAAGTTGTTCACTTTAAGGTCACTGCAAACACTCTTTGTGTCTGGAGAAAAAAGGTTTACCTACAAAAGCTACAATACTGTGAAATGTGACTTTTATAGGAGCTAGTTCTAGCCAGCTGTGTAGATTGTTTCAAAAAAGGCTGGATGATTTTCTAAATGCACAAAAATTAAACTTGCTATTACCATTTGAAAGTAATTACACTGATAAAGGGGTAATATTAATCTAAGGAGTTTTCTGAGTCCCCTGAGAGCCTTTGGGGATCGGGAAGAATTTTTTTCCTAATTGGAGCAAATTGAAGTATGCTTTACAAGGTTTCTTTTCTGTCTGCATCAACTGCGGTTTAGGGTTCTGACTATGTAAGTTTAAATGTATTTATTTTTGTATTTTGATTAAATTTAAACATGTCTTTTTTCCAACTAACTATGTAACTATGCTGCTGTTTTGCATTGTGTAAAATAAAAAAAAAATCAAATCCAAGGCTGCTGTTGTAATTGGTGTGACTAATTTCTTATTGTATTTTCCAGCTCTAGATTACAGGTGTCAAACTGCGGCCCTCCAGCTTTCAAGGAACTACAAGTCCCAGCATGCCCCTGCCTTTGGGAGTCATGCTTGTAATTGTCAGGCTTGCAATGCTCATGGGATTTGTAGTTCCGTAACAGCTGGGGGGGGGGGGGCACAGTTTGACACCCGCGCTAGATTAAAAATGATTACAATTACAGTTAAATACAATAAACCTTTCGGCCTCATTCACATGGGTGTACTTAAAGTGGTTGTAAAGGCTCAAGGTTTTTTACCTTTTATGCATGAAGGTGAAAAACCTTCTTTGTGCAGCATCCCCCCCAGCCCGCCTAATACTCACCTACACCCTCTCTCGATCCAGTGATGTGCACTGGAGTCTCGGCTATTCCGGGACTCCTTCTCATTGGTTGAGACAGTAGTGGGAGCCAATGGCACCCCAAACAATATAAAATTGGGAGCAGCGACTGTGTCTGTGGAGCAGCCACATTCCATTTAACATGAAGGGACTGCATGCAGGGGGATGCACAGAGCACCTGTGTATCCTCACGTGGGCAAATATTGCCCTGGCATGTCAGTAAGTATGCCCATGTGAACAAGGCCTTTTGTCAGAGCAAAAGATTTTCTTTCACATTCTTTTCTCCTCCCTCTTAAGGGCTGATGTACACTGCAGCTCCTAAACTGACATTCAGGAGCTGTTCAGCGTTTTTTCAGCAGCCCCTGAACTCTCCCTAATGTTTTCCTATGTGTCCAATGTAAACTATGTCATTTACAGGCAGTTGAGTTTACAGTCGTTTTTTTGAATGCACCAAACTTGCGTTCAGGAGTAGATTTTACCGACGTTTCAAAAGCCAAATGCTTGTAAACGCGTTTAGAAGCATTTGCGTTTAGAAGCATTTTTTATCTCTTCCATGTCCAGATGCTGTCCAGAGCTTTTTTACATCATCAGAAATGCATGCAAAGTGTTTTCCATGTATTCGAATGGACCCGGTACACCAGCGCAGTCAGTTCCAGGTTTCACGTGAAGGCAAAAATGGCAGAACGTGCTGCATTATGCTCATGATGGGATCCATAGTGAATACTACCAGAAAAGACAGGTCATCTCAACACATGCTGCCCTCTCTGCTTCTGCTCTCTCTATTACTCTCAAAATGTCTGAAATAGTTAATTTTTTACTATTTTTCAGTGCATTCTGGCCATTTGGGAAGATCTCCTGAGGTTATCATATAAAAAACGCTTCTAAACGCAAATGCACATAAATGTGCATAAACACAGTATGCAAACGTGGCTAAACTGATGTTTTTTAACCAATGTTTTCCAGCAGTCAGTTTCCATCATTCAGAAGAGTTTTCCAAACTCCCCCTGTACATGAGCCCTTAAAAACGAGTTGAGTTATATGAGTGGTGTCAATGGACTGGAGCGAAAGTCTAGCCCACAGAGAAGCAGATAATGTTTGCTAGTTCTTGTAAATGTACCCAAAATACAGGGAAGCAGGGAATATGTAAGTGAAGAAGTGAAAACAAAGTTAATGATTGAGAAATCCCTGTATTAGTAGCATGCTAATTTTGGGCACTTTCAGATTCATGGGTAAATACTGGTAAACTGTGTGTAGCCAGGTGTTGGGCTGCAGTTTATCCACCAACCTGAAGGTGGCACTGTGCCATTCCTTCAGGCTGAAAGGAAACTATGGAGGACTAATCTGTTCTACATTATGGGCTCCAGTCAAGCAACTCGGGGAGGCCAGTATCACCTATTGAATGCTAAAATCCCATGGGATTTGGACAATCATCATGACACAGAAAAGTTTAACCTCCCTGGGTATGATTATTTCAGATTTTTGGTGCTGAAAGCGGTACCATTATTTTGCATGGACAAAAGTCTAGTAAACATTCCAGATATGATAAAACTTGAAACACGAAATCATAAATTATAATTTAATAAATAATCATAAAAAATAATAACATAATAATAATAATACATTTAATTCAATAATATAATCAAACTAAAAACACTGATATTTGAAATATAGCGCCAAGTTCGCACATCACTGAGCAAAGTCACAAAATCGTTGTCTGTGTCTGATGACGAATTTCCCCACAAATCATTATCACTCAATTCTGCAAGTGGTTCTGATTTACTATCGCTGTTCTCTAGCTGGTCTAAAACCGCTTTTGACCTAAACGGACGCTTTTTGGACGCCATGGACTTTTCTCAGTTTCCAGGCAGAAAGAACAGTCAAAATGCAGGCAGGGCACAGGACAAAGCACTAGGGACAAAATGTACGTGAAATGCTTTGAAACAGCAATGTTTTACTATGTAATATTCGTTTACAAAAAAATGACAGCTTTTAAAATTTTAAAATTTGCCGTCGGTTCCGGCCCCCGTACGTCCCGACGTCACAGGAAGCCGGCATCGGCCGGAGGAGATGGCCAGGGATGCTGCAGGAGGGACAAGGTAAGCGCTGCAGGGAATCCCTGAGCAACGCCACATGGTAAGCCCAAGTGTAGCTCGGGGTTACCGCTTTTGGTACTGAAATTTCACCCCGAGCTACACTCGGGAATACCGCCAGGGAGGTTAAAGTGGTTCTTCACACTAGAAACAAAAAATAAAAAGTAATCAGCTACAAATACTGTAGCCGCTGACTTTTAATAAAAGGACATTTGCCTGTCCAGGGACCCAGCGCCATCCTGACCTGGACCGGCTCTTTGCCAGTCTTCAGGTCCCTGGCACCAGTATGTTTACTTTGGGAAGATAACTGTGACTGTGACTTGACTTCGCAGCCTGCTTCCCACTGCACATGCGCGAGCTGCACTGCACTTTTTCAATGGTCCCGCAGCTTCCTGGGACCTGTGATGTGTCCCAGAAGGCAGGGGTGTATTTACCACAAGGCAAAAAAGGTATTTTTCAGGGGGGTAGCACTGTCCCTTAGAAGAAGGGATGGAAGCATGGGGAACTGGTGGGTTCCGAGAGATGCTGTGGGATTCATGATGTGTATGCACAGCCCGTCTCTAAATTCTGGGGATGTCCGGAGCTGTAAAGGTAAGTGTCTTTCTCTCTCTTGCCATAGGGGATGGTGGCTGGTGTATGGGGGGCAGCGGTAGTGGAAGGCTCGGGTGGAGGGCCAGGGTGCTCTTGGTCAATGTTAGGCTCTTTCTTCAGGGGGGAAGGGGGGGGCGCCAATTTTTATGTTGCCTAGGGCAGCATAAAACCTAAATACACCACTGCCAGAAGGCTTCGGGTGGGGCAGGGCAAACTTCCGTTTGGATCGCCTAGGTGATCATGGCAGAAGTGAGAGCCAGTATCTGGTACCCACACCCCCCCCCCCCCAAAAAAAAAATAAAGTTCCAAAGCTTAAAGGGGGAGGGGACAAACAAGGGAAATGTCCACTATTGGGTGAAGTTCCACTTCAAATAGGTTCTCCCACAGTGTTGGAGAAGTTCAACAACAAAGAAAGTAAGAGCAGTGTTAAGTTGAGATATCTGACAAGCATGGAGAGAGTAGTTCCCCTCACAGGGTGTCCTTTGCCAGCTTCGTGGAACTATCCCCCATGGCAGCCAGATAACTGCAAGGATTTTGGGGATTATATGGTGATCCAGTAAACCACTACCTCCTCCAAGGGAAGTGCTCCTCAGACCATTCTGTGGTCTGTATGCTCATGGTTTATCGCTATTGAAAAAGTGCCTTGTTGACAAACATTATCTTTTCTGCCTGAAGAAGTGTATAACCTGCAACATATGTAGTGCCACTGCTATTAGCCACCTTTACTCAAAAGAAATAACGTTTAAGCATCAAGGGGTGTTGACTCCCCTAAACTCTTGGGTACACTGGTTTATCCATCCACACGTGTAATATAAACAGGATTAGGTCCTATTGTTGCTTAGGAAGATGTTTCCTTAAATTTTCCTATACATAGGGATCAAAAACATCTGAGAACTGTTCACAACAATGCAGTGGGTATAAAACAATATAAGGTACAAGTATTTAAAGTTACCCTTGGGTCCGACTGACTATAATCCTCCATCAGGTCTTCCTCAGCTGCTCCTATGTCTGTTAGGAGGGCCTCCGCTCCTTGCAAACTTCCTGAAATGTGACATTTTATTGAGCATTTATAATATCATTGCACTATTTCCAGAACACAGACATGTTTAGTAGCTATGTGCCCAAACACGTCTTGTTTTATAGGTTTTCCATAAACTAACATAATAACATACTATATAATAAAAACTGCCAAAACTATCCTAGTTTTCACCCAGGATTTAAAATTGTTTCCAATTGAATCTGATTAGAAAAATGTAAATTCTTGTGTGAATCATGTTAAAACCTTTATAAATAGATCCTAAAGTGTCAAATGAATCATAATAGATTGCCACATGTGTATTTTTGTTACAGTATATGGTATTTCTCATTTTTTTTATGCAGTCACAGGTATAAAAAAAAAAAGCTGCATAAAAATATTAAATAATGCCAGCTTTTTCCTTTCAAAAGAAAAATTTAAAAATAAAGACAATTCAGTGCTTGGATAAAGCTGACATCAAAGAAAGAAGCAGCTAGTACCAAAATTTTGATATCAATTTCGATCTCAATCTATACTCTAAATGTGCAGCACTAAATAGGGATAAATCATAAACATAAATTTAAATATATGAAAGTAAATAAAATAACACATATAATAAATTCATGAAAAAAAATCTAACAAATCATGCTGTTGTGTCTCATGAACCCGCTCCTGAAGACACCATTGTGTGACGAAACACGTAGGTTTGCACCGGAAATGGCGTCATCATGTATAGCAGCCGCCGGGGTCCAGCATGTTTATGATTTATCTTTATTTAACACTGCACATTTAGAGCATATAGTCGTTTCAATACAGCAGAGAATGGAGAGTTAAGTATTCCATGTCTACTTTGCAGGGAACAGTTTATTTTGAAGACTTGTTTTAGTAACAGTCAGTTTAAAGGGTTAGTTCACCTTTCATAAAAAATATTCTGTGCAGTCCATGATCACTGTTCCACAGTTTTAAATGAATCTGATTTTAAAAATATCCATTTATGCTCCTCCCATATTTGTGGGTTTTGTTGTGAATGGAATGAAGCCTGCCTCAAACACTTCTGATATTATTCACAGCTTTGGGCCCTTTTTCACTGATGAGCTTTATGATAAGTTCCCATTGACTTACAATGGAATGTACCTTTTTTGGTATGCTTTTAAAATATGTACCAAACATGCAGCATGCAGTTTTTTTCCCAGCACAGAGCACCTGCAGTGTGAACAGTTACATAGGATTTAATGGGGAATAGTTTTCACGAGCCTTTGTCACCCTGGAAAAGTGGAAAAGTGCAGCAAAAGCACACCAGTGTGAAAGTCTCCTTAGAGTGGATTTCCCCTCACTTTGGAGAGATTTCCCCGCACTTCACAAGGCGTTTTAACTATCCTCTACTGCAGTGGTCTCCAAACTGTGGTCTATGGGCCGAATGCGGCTCTTTGCCTGCCTCTTTCTGGCCCTCGGGGTACTATTCCTCCCACTGACACCAACAAGGAGGCACCATTTCTTCCTCCAGCACCAACTATGGGGCATTTTTCCTTCCACTGACACCAATGATGGGGCACAATTCCTCCCACTGATATAAACAATCAAGTACTGTTCCTCCAACTAATACCAAGGATGGGGCACTATTCCACTAACTAATACCAAGGATGGGGCACTATTCCACTAACTAATACCAAGGATGGGACACTATTCCTTCCTCTGATACCAATGATGGGGCACTATTCTGTATTAGAGTGCCCTCACTCTGGATGAAGGAGCACAGAAGGAACATTTGAACAGCAGCATTGTTAGTCGGGGGGAGGGGAGTGTTAGATGTACTAGCAGATTTAGATACACTAACACATTAAACTGCAGCTCACGCTTTATAAGCAGTTACAGCAGTTTTTTCCTTTTGGGATAAATATTTTACGTAAATAAATAAATGCTGATCATAGTAAGCACCTCTGTCAAGTGGTAAATGGTTTGTCTCATCTCTTTAACTAACATACTGCTGGGGAGTTTGTTCTTTTGAAACACAACAGACTTACTAGCTGCATCACCAGGTGAAAATAGAAGAAAGAACACCTGCACAGAATTTCCTCTGGGTACTCCGGTTTCTTCTCACACTCCAAAGACATGCTGGTAGATAAATTAATTCCTCTCTAAATTGGCCCAAGTATGTGCACAGGGGCGTCCCTAGGGTTGGTGTCACCCGATGTGATAACACTTGGTGACACCCCCTCTGATGATCCCCGCAGAATGGATCAGATCTGCAAAATGAGCATAATGGATCAGACTCTGATCCATTATGCTCCCCAATCCACAGATCCGATCCTTCCTGCAGGGATCATCAGCTTTCTTTACAACTTACCTTTTCGTGGAGTGGGTCCAGTGACACCCCGTATAGGTTGCATGCTGAAGATCCCTGCAGGATGGTTTGGATCTGCGGATTGAGCATAATGGATTGGAGTCCGATCCATTATGCTCCCCAATCCGCAGATCCAATCCATCCTGCGGGGATCATCGGCTTTCTTTACAACTTACCTTTTCGTGGAGCGGGTCCAGTGTCACTCCATATAGGTTGCATGCCCACGATCCCTGCAGGATGGTTTGGATCTGCGGATTGAGCATAATGGATCGGAGTCCGATCCATTATGCTCCCCAATCCGCAGATCCAATCCATCCTGCGGGGATCGTCGGCATGCAACCTATACAGGGTGGCACTGGACCCGCTCCATAAAAAGGTAAGTTGTAAAGAAAGCCGACTTTTCCTGCAGGATGGATCGGATCCATCCTGCGGGGATTGTCGGCTTGCTTTACAACTTACCTTTTCATGGAGCAGGTGCGATGTCACCCCATGTGGTAGGTGTTACCCGGTGCGCCATTCACCCCCCCACACCTGCCTCGGGACGCCACTGTATGTGCATGAATGTGAGTTAGGGACCTTAGATTGTAAGCTCCTTGAAGGCAGGGACTAATGTGAATGTACAATATATATGTGAAGCGCTGCATAAAGAAGAAAGGAAGAGCGGGCAATATTATAAACATTTTATTTTGGGTTTAATATTGCTTTAATGGAAATCAACATTTCATGTACTCCTGGGTCCCTGGTTGCTCTCACTGGCTCTTCTTGTATCCTGTAGTAAGTAGAGATCAGCCAGTGAGAGCTGCAAGGGACCCAAGAGACTGACACTCCCAGAAGTGTCGGTTTCCCAGTGGACTTCATCAGAAGCTTTCTCAGTAGCAGAGCAGCATTCTGCAGCAGGAAGGGCAAAAATGTACAGACTTGTTTTTAAATGTATGCCATGGCTTAAAATATGTACTGTAACGACAGGGTCACTTTAACTATATAAAATCTTGCAAAGAATGTTACAATTGTAAACATTTTATTAAAGATTTTTTTTCCTTTAGAAATAAAGGTTCCTATCTCTTACCTGGTATCATCAATCCAGATTCCTTTGCTTTTCGTAGTAAACCTGCGTAGTTGTATCTGCCATTGGTGATGCCAGAGTTAATATCTTCAAACCGGCCATTGCCAGAGCCTGAGGTGAGCATGGCTTGAATTGCCTGGGTGATGGCCACACACAGCAGTACTGTATTCAGCATCATGGCTGGAGAGGACTACACAATACAAAAGTATATGCTCAATAAGTGTAAGTAATCAATCTGAAGCAACAAAGAATTTATATACAGTATATTCCATAAGCCCCGATTCACACTATGAATCACCAATGAACCGGAATGCGCAGCACAATTAACATGCGATTCAGTACGGTGTGATTTGAGCCCATTTATTTTGAATGAGCTCAAATCGCACCAGAAGACATTCGGCCTTTGTGTAGGGCAGCCGGTCTGTCTGTCGAAGGGACATGACCAAAAAAGGTCTGCCGATCAGTGTTCTCAGCCAATGGCTATGAGCGCTGACCGGAGTGTTCTGGCAGGGGGGCTTTCCACCTGTCAGAACACAATAGCACAGCAGGGGACATTGCTGTACTAAAATCAGATAGTAGCAGGGCCGGATCTAGGGGGTGCTGCGGTGTGCTTTGCCCCCCAGATTTTAACTGTGCCCCCCCAGGTCCTTGTGAGTGCATTAGCTAGTCTGATGCATAAAGTTGATGTAGGGAGGCACTCTGATGGGGACAATCCATGTAAGGGGGCACTCTGATGGGGACAATCCATGTAAGGGGGGCACTCTGATGGGGACAATCCATGTAAGGGGGGCACTCTGATGGGGACAATCCATGTAAGGGGGGCACTCTGATGGGGACAATCCATGTAAGGGGGCACTCTGATGGGGACATCCCATCCCAGTAAGGGGGGCACTCTGATGGGGACAATCCATGTAAGGGGGGCACTCTGATGGGGACAATCCATGTAAGGGGGGCACTCTGATGGGGACAATCCATGTAAGGGGGGCACTCTGATGGGGACAATCCATGTAAGGGGGGCACTCTGATGGGGACAATCCATGTAAGGGGGCACTCTGATGGGGACAATTCATGTAAGGGGGGCACTCTGATGGGGACAATCCATGTAAGGGGGCACTCTGATGGGGATAACTGAACATATGTAAGGTGGACTCTGATTGGGACCCTGATGTAAGGGGGTACTCTAATGGGGACACCTGATGTGAGTTCTCTGATGGGGGCCCTCTGATGGGGACCCTGATGTAAGGGGGCCCACTCATGGGGACACCTGATGTAAGGGGGCACTCTAATGGGGACCTTGATGTAAGGGGGGAACTCTGATAGGAACCTGATATAAAGGGGGACTCTGATGTGGATTCCTGATGTAAGGAGGGCACTCTGATAAGGACCTGGATATAAGGGGGCACAGGTTCTGTTTAATCATCCAATTCTAATGATAGCCAAATCCATACTAGTGTTTCCCAGGATATGACACTGTGACAGAGTGTCAGTGACTCACTGTATTGACATTCTACCCCCTGACTTTATTTACTGCACCCCCCAGATCAGACAGGCTGGAGCTGGCCCTGGTTAGTAGAGCGGCTCCTCCTAAACTGTCATTTTTTTTTTTTTTCAATCAATCCGCCTGGTTGAACGAAAAATAAACTAGAAGTGTGTACTAGGCTTTAAAGGCAAATGAAATTCTCACATGGCAATGTATCCTTTTAGGTGCTTCCAGGGGGAAAAAAAGGGGTCATTTTTGAAATGTGTTTACATTTTGATTCCTACTGACATATCATCAGCAAGACACAAGTGTCAATTTGCACAAACCCTAAAATTGCGCTTTTTGAAGACCATATTTGAACTACATCTTAGTGCATTACACAATTTCTAACACTCAGGGGGTGTCCTATGCTAGGGGTGATGTCCAAGGCTTACATTCTTTTGCTAAAATGTGTCCCTCGTTCCCATCTCAGAAAGTTGGGAGGTATGCTGTAGGCCATTTGCACCCCACCTACCCACGTGGAAGAAAAATATATTTGAAATATATTTTTAAAATATTCTTCCCAAATATATTGAGATATATTTGAAATGCTACAAGTTTGGCCATATTAAATATATTTCAATATATATATATACACACACACTGCATGTTGAAATGCATTTTTTTATATATTACAAAATATATAAAAAATATCTTCTAAAATATATTTTTTTTTATAAATTCTTTAGACTTTGTTTAACATATAAAATAGTCATTTTAACATATATCTTTACATGTATTTGTAAATGCATTCCAAAAATGTAAATTTGTATTTCTAAAGGCATATAGTATATTTGAAATGTATTTTTACAAATATTATTCATATATTTTGCAATAAAAACACACATTTCAACATGCAGTATATATATTGAAATATATAGAATATGGCCAAAATTGTAGCATTTCAAATATATGACAATATATTTGGGAAGACTATTTTTAAAATATATTTTTTTCTTCAATATGGGTAGCCTGCCTGAAAAACTCCCAATATTCTGCATTGCTCCAACTTGTCCTGTTGCCAAGATAAGCCAGATATTGAATGCTTGCCCTCAGCATCACAGGCTCAGAGCCCTCCGAATGCCCAGCATCATCCTATAAACACCTGCTATGGGGGTAATTTACTAAAACCGGAGAGTGCGAAATCTGGTGCAGCTTTGCATAGGAACAAATCAGCATTTAGGTTTTATTGCCGAAGCTTAATTGAACAAGCTGAAGTTAGAAACTGATTGGCTACCATGCACAGCTGCACCAGATTTTGAGTGCTCCAGTTTTAGTAAACTCCCCCCATGTGTTTACATCAGAAGAATCTGCTCTTCACAGAGAGAAGCTCAGCTCTTCCTAAGCATTTTGTGAATTAAAGGCAAATTTCTCCACAATACCTATAACTAGAGAGGTGAATGGGGATGTTTTACAGGTGATTTTACTGCTTGCTCAAAATACGTAAATATGTGCAGAGTTCATTTTAAAGCCAAACTCCCTTGAAGTGGGGCTGTGTCTGCACTGCAAGGGTTAACTGCCCATTTCTGTCTAAGGAACTGTGAAAAGTAGTTTACTTACCTGATCCTCATTTCCTGCAGGCTCCTCTGTGCTGCTAGACAGGTCCTTTAAGCTTCTTCACCCATGAGCTCCTGCAGCCTAAGGTCCTCTGATGTCTTCAAGACTGATGCAGAGCCCATAGCTTTGCACTGAACTTGAGGACACCACCACAGCACAGTGGTGTCAATTAGGCCCATATGGAACCAGACCGGGGCGGACTGACCATTTGGAAACTTGGGCACTGCCCGAGGGCCCCCGGGTCAGTAGGGGGCCCCATGAGATACCCCTGGTACCTTTTTCATAGGTTTTTTTTGAGCTTGGGCAAGGACACAGGGGCCCCTTGATCCCCTATTGCCCAGGGGCCCCGTGAGTTGTCAGTCCGCCCCTGAACCAGACTTTATGCTTGGTCTTGCGTTGGGACTGTGCTGGGCAAGGGTGCCCAATGCAGTCCCAGCGCACCTAGTGTAAAGAACCCTAAGGCTAAGTTCACACTTGTGTTGGTGGTTGGCACAGTGGGACCGCACCTGTTCCTGCAACTGCATCCACCTGCACAGAAAAATGTGCTGCTGCTCAGGAGATGCGTGGGGGTACCACTAATACTACTGCAACCGCCAGGTACTGGAACCACACTGCACTATGTGATTTCCCTGCGGCCGTGTTTTCTGAAAATACGCAGGGACCTTTTCCCTGCATTTTATGTGGGTACAGCAGCCCATTCAAATGAATGAGCTGCTGTGTACGAGCAACACAGCTGCAGGTAAACCACATAAATGTGAACCAGGGCTAAGACCACATTATGATTGGAAAAAAACTTGAAGAATATGTGCATCTTATCTGTTACATTCTCAGAAATGTATTTTATTTACATATTTTTTACAATTCAGTATCAAGACTTGCCAACGTGGTAAATATTTTTGCTAGAGTACGATGTCCTATTTTACATTTCCCAAAAAATTTCTTACAGAAAATATATACTTTTAAAGTATAGATTATTTCTTATATTATCTCTCCATGTAACCTATATAATATAAAGTGTGAATACCCATATGGAAGAAAAATATATTTGAACTATATTTAAAAATATTCTTCCCAAATATTTTTAAAAATACATTTCAAATATACCGTATGTCTTTAAAAATACAAATCTACATTTTTTGGAATGAATTTACAAATATATGTTAAAATGACTTTTTTATGTTAAAAAAAATCTGAAGAATATATTTTAAAAAAATATATTCTTCAGATTTTTTGTAACATATATTTTTGCATATATTTGTAAATGCATTCCAAAAATGTAGATTTGTATTTTTAAAGACATACAGTATACTTGAAATGTATTTTTCAAATATTTTGTAATAAAAACGCATTTCAACATACAGTGTGTGTATGTATGTATGTATGTATGTATATATATTGAATATGGCCAAAATTGTAGCATTTCAAATATAAGCCAATATATTTGGGAAGAATATTTTTAAAATGTATTTCAAATATATTTCTTCCATGTGGGTACGCTCCATTCCTATTCATCTGATAACATTTGATGCGTTAATATTTAGGAATAAGTGTAACTTACATGCAGAAGGTTGAATATTCCGACGATCAATCCAGCTGGAGTTGGGAGTCACATGAGAATAAGGTTTATATAGAGGAACATCAATGCTATAATGTGGTGACGTTTTACACAATAACAAGTAGGAGGATTCTTCCTTGTCTTAGGGACAAATGACAGTGTTCAATAAGTGGCCATTTAGAGTCTCACAAAATGTGGTTAATCTTTAAAATACTCAATTTTCCTCACGTCATCTATTTTGGTCCCATTTGCAGTATTTATAGAATGACCACTCACTAGCCCATTCTACAGAAAATTATTAGCTTGTTTTTACTACCTGGATGTTGTCAACATCGGCTTAATTGATGTATTCATATACTTAGCAGAGTTATTCAAACAGAAAGTCTATATGCACTCCATTTGAAATTCTGGAAAAAAAAAGATATCCTTTTGAAATGTACAAAATATACAAACTGAAATAAAAATGTATCAGCCGTTCATTTTTTAAGTAATGAGGCTCAGCACTGTCCTACCATGGCTTGAAGACCGCAATAAATATATATATATG